CTGCCCACTGCCCATCCAGATCACCAGTGCATGCAGCAGCCAGAGCTGTGTTTGTGGACACAGCAACACTCTCTGAGGACCATCCAGAGGCTGAGCGGGAAAGGCAGGAGAGTTGGGTGCTCTCTGGGCTTTGGGAGCCATGATAGATCGCCGCAGGTGGGTAGCTCCACAGCAGACAGTTACTGGCCCTGTGCAGAGAGCAGGAGGTCTGATTCCTGCTATGCCCTCTCTCCTCATTTTCCTGTGGTCATCCCTGTGCATGTCCATGTCCATACTTCCCTTCTCCCCCAAGCACATTGGCTCAGGTTACCCCCGTGACTTCACTTTAGTGTGACCCTCAAGGGTGACAGCACCTTTACAGCTATCTGCAAGCCCACAATTGAGGTCCAGGGGCTCAGGTTAAAGCCTGTGAATCTGAGGGACAACTCAACACCCCTGGCAACACCTGTGTCCCAGTCCTGTGGGTGTGATGGGAGGGGAGGCAGCCAATGCACCCCACTCTTTCCACTGATGCCAGTCAGCTTGGCTCAAGGAAGAGCTGTGGACATGAGGCATGTCCACAAAAGCAGCCTGTGCCATTCCTATGTCCCCACCCCCTGGTCCCTTTCCACTTACTTACTGCCCCACCTGCAGCCTGTTATCTTGACCCATTACCAGAAACCCCATGTCCCCACAGGGCCTGTGTCACAGCACCCGGCAACTCTCTCTTCCAGGCACAGTGAGTGCTCCTAGCCTCCTGAGGGACCCCACACTACTATAATCCAGCACCATGCTGCACAGGCTTTGGGCAGGAGGCCAGGCAGAGAACTAGGGTGGGATCCATGCATGAAAAAGCTCTTGGGGCACTGGCAGTGTGGCTGCTTTGTGGCTCTCATATCCACTGTGGAAAAGGGGCTAAGTCCACTGGCCTGGCTCTGCTGGGCCCATGTGACCTCATGGGGCCTCATGACCGGCCATGGATGGCCAAGCCACAGGGACTCATTTCCTCCTAATGGATGCTTTGCAGGGCAGCTCCATGGACCACATCGCCAAGGGAACAGGCAGTTTCTGGGGACCCAAAGCTCTTGGCCCTGCTCTTTCCCAGCCCCACACTCCCGACAAATCAAATCAAAGCCCCTAAGATGTGGTTTCCCAAGCTCCCTTGATTGCAGAGTGAGGGAAGTTTTGCAGCCACCGGGGCCCTGCAGGGATGTTGCCACCATGCAGTGCGGCCTCCTCGGTCAGCGCAGGTGGGCGGTGAGCGAGCTCAGGAAGGAGCAGGGGCTGGGTGCATAGCGACCTCTGACTCAGCAGCCTCAAGCCCTCCAACCCACTGTTGAGCTGAGGATGGCTCCCACACAAGACCCCGGCCCGCATCCACCATGATGTCCTGGCAACAGCTCTCTGGCCACCAGTAAGGGGGCGCTGCCCACTACCTGCACTGTGTCCTTCCACGTTGTCTGAGCGTGCACAGCTACCCTTGTCTTTGGGGTGACGACAACATCCTCACTTGACTTGGACACTCCCTCCCCCTGAACATCACTCCCCCACTCGATCCTCAACCCTCACCTTGCACTTCCTCAAGTTCCCCAAGAACTGGAGCCTCTGCCCTGGCTCTTCCTGCTGCCTACAGTGCCTGCCTTCACTTTTGCCTTGTCTAGACTCTTCCTGTCCCCACTGTAACCTCTGCCCCAGCACTGCAGTGCCCAGTGGGACATTGACTGTATGTGTGACAATGTCCATTAATAAGTTCAAAAAGCCCACTGAGACATGTCGAGGAGCCAGGTGTGGTGGCTTGAGCCTGCAATCCTAGCACTCTGGGTGGTTGAGGCAGGAAGAGTACAGGGATGAGCCCAGCTTAGGTAATTTAGCAGTTTAGTAAGACCCTGCTTCAAAAGAAAAAAATGAAAAAGAGCTAAGGATGTAGGTCAGTGTGAGGGTCCTGGGTTCAAATCCTATTACAAGAAGGAAAGAAGGAGAGAGAGGAGATGGAAGGAGACAGAGAGGGAGGAAGTAAAGAGAGGGGGGAGAGAAGGGAGGAGGGTGAGCCAGACAGACAGACAGACAGACAGACAGACAGACAGACAGACAGATAAATGTGTCCAAACATGTCCATTGCTACCTCGTTCAGAAGGACACCAAAACAAATGACATCCTACATGAGACATGGACACAGTATGAGCTGGGTATTGTCCTGCGAAAGCGTTCAGCATAGCTATCTCTCTGGGCCTGAAAACCAGGGATTATAGGTGCACACCACCACACCTAGCTCGTGTTAGGTATTTTAGGTCACCCAGAACTAGTGTGGTCCTGGTACTGGTAGGAAGAGACACGGACCAGGTTGGGAAAACCTGGCCAGGTCTGGAAGAGGCTTATTAGACCCTGGCAGCAGCCAACACTTGGGAAGCAAGTGATCAGCACAGGGCGGGTCCTGGGGCCTCCTGGGCCTGGGAGGCTAGGCAAGGAAAGGAAGCTTCACTGGGTGGGTGAACCCAGTCTTATGTTGGGGAGCTGTGGAAAGTAGGCTGGGGGCACAGGAATATGTCAGCAGTCCCCCTAACACTAAAGCTTATGTCTTGGAGGGATGAAGGCAACTTCTATCCTCAGGGGTATTGGGGCACAAGAGGGCCAGTGAGAGGCTTTCCTGAGGCCCAGAGGAGGCTACCTGCCCAGGAGCTTTGTTGTCTCAGAGAGGCCACCAAATAAAGGATGTGCAGTGAGCCAGGACCCATGGGGAGCACTGAGGCCACGGTGCCTACATCCTAACATATCAGCAAGCAGCAGGGAATGGACCCAGTAGTACCCCCTGCTCTTGGGAGCTTTCCTCCTTTGGGGGGAGCCACCCTGGGCCCTGACCCATCCTGGGTTCTAGGGCCAAAGACTGATCCCAGAGGGAAGAGTAGAGAGACCAGTGTCAGGGCTCCCTAGGGAATATAGGGGGCCCAGGTATGGAGTGGGAGGGCAGACTGCTTCCACTCGTTTTCTGTCTCCTTCCAGTCTTCTAGGGGCCACTAACTAGGAGGAGCTTGGCCTGAAGAGCAGGAAGCCCTGTCCTCCCGTTCCTTTCCATCTCTTTTCTCGTCTAGATCCACAGTGGGGAGGTAGCTGACTCTGAAGTAGAGCAAACAGTGCTTAGGGTATGGATACTGCTCCTCCATGAATCCTCTGTGCTCTCTTAGAAAGTTCAAGTATCCAGCAAGTTCCAGGCCAGGGAGCCTTGTTAAGTAACATCCTCTCTTGATGTGTCCCTACCCTGTCCTCTGTCCCCTGTCAAGTGAGTTCCATCCCTGCTAGAGTCTGAGGCTCTAACAACTTGTGGTCTTCAGGCTGATCAAGGGCTCTCATCAGCCAGCCCTAGGGCAGTGACTGCACAGACCTCAGCCAGAACTGAGGTGCCGGGTGACGGCTGGCAGTGGTCACCTCTGGGGACACTCGGTTCCTGAGCATGCTGAAGTGAGCTCAATGATCACAGGCTGCCCTTGGTGTCAGGTCATGGTGGCTGGAGATGTCTCCATGGTATGCTATCTCCGGTAGCTTACAGGGGTGCCCTGGGATCTTGCGCACAACCCAGGATTCCAAATCCAGACCCAGATGGAAGGGACAGGGTTGCCACCGCAGCTGCCTCAGGACCAGGCCAAACCCTAGACCCCTGATCCCTATGGAGTCCCCTTGCTGGAGCTTACTCACCTGTATCCTGGGGGCTGCTGGTCAGGGGACCTCAAGGGCAGAGAGGCCAGGGAAGCAAGAGAAGGGAGTGAAGATGGTTTCTCAGCACTACCTGGAGCCGTCTGCCTAAGGACACCCTGAGATGTATGCTGTCCCCACAGGACAACCGCAGGCAGCACACCACTGCCTTGGGCAGTACCAGGTGGATACCGCCCTGCCCTGGGGGTGTTTCTGCTCTCCTCCTCCTTCTATGCTGCAACCTGACAGCCCCTGCTTCCCGAGGGTTCTCTGGCGTTGCCTTGGGGTCTCTGCCTGTCTTTCCTTCTCTCTCTTCGCTCTTCTTTCTCATATACATTCTTGCCTCTCTCCTGCTCTCATTCTCCCCGCTTTTCCCACCGCAGTCTTGCTCAACCTGCCCCGGGGCTCTCTGATCTGTGCCCACTTCTCTGGTTCTTTTGTCCCTCTTCCTAACTCCCAGAGCTCTCTGGATACCGCCAGGTCAGGACCCTCCTGCCCACCCGAAGGACGCAAATCTGGCGCTTGCGTGCCAGCGGGTCTGCCCGGCCAGGGAGCGACACGCGATAAGGCACTTCGGCCCGGCGGTCCCGCCACATCCACCTCCCGCCTGAGGAGGCTGAGCTCAGCGCCCCGACTCCTGCAGGAATCGCCCAGTGCAACCACAAGCCGAGGTCCCCCACGCGCGCCCGCGCCCAGACCTCCCCTCCGCCACACTGCGCGGGCCCCTTCATTATGCACCGCCTTTAATGGGCGTTTGTCAGCGCCACTTCCCCGCAAGTCGTTTTCGCGGACATCAGTCATCGGCGGCCCCATTGTGCAGGGGGATTGATGGGGGGCGGGAGGGGGTGACAGGGCCTGGGGCAGCCGCCTCGAGGCCTCGGTCTATAATTTTCGAAGGCATAATTGGTCTGGGGGCGGGGGCGAGGCGGGGGAGGGGCAGGCGAGGGACCTTTCAGAGCGCGGAGGCCGTGCGGGGGCGCGGGGCGCACCGCCGAGGGAGCCGTGGCTCGACGGCGGCGCCTGGGGGGGAGTGTGTACCGGCAGCGCCGGCCTAAGCCCCGCGCCCCGCCGGGGTCCCCACCCGCCGGACTCCCGCCCCTCCCGAGCCTCCGCCTGGGGACCGCGTCGGCCTTTTGTTGCAGACCCGTCCTTTCTTTGAGAGCTTTGCGCAGCCACGGAAATTTCACCGCTCCTGGGTGAAAATTAAAATCAGTCTCTCTCTCTCTCTCTCTCTCTCTCTCTCTCTCTCTCTCTCTCTCTCCCCTCTTCTCTTTCCTTCCCTCGCTCCCTCTCTCCCTCCCTTCTCCTCCCACCCGTCTCCCCACTTTCCCGCGGTCCGCACCGCCGCGCCTTCCATGGGCACCGCGCTGGCCTGCAGCCGCCGCGGGGCGGGCGCGATGCCACGATGGGTCTGATCTGGCTTCTGCTGCTCAGCCTGCTGGAGCCTGGCTGGCCCGCCGCGGACCCCAGAGCGCGGCTGCGGCGCGATGCGGGCGGCCGCGGCGGTGTCTACGAGCACCTAGGAGGGGCGCCCCGGCGCCGCAAGCTCTACTGCGCCACCAAGTACCACCTCCAGCTGCACCCGAGCGGTCGCGTCAACGGCAGCCTGGAGAACAGCGCCTACAGTGAGTGCCAGGCGCGGGGTGCGGCGCGGGAGCGGGGACAGAGAGCCGAAGGTGTATGCCTTCTGCGGCCAGAGGGCGACCCCCGGGGACGCAGGTCCGCAGCAACGTCCGGAAAAGCTGCGCCAGGATCAGAGAAGATTGGGGGAGGGAGTCCCTTCCAGGAGGGGTCCCCGCCTAACCGGATCCTCCGAGGGTTCGCGCAGTAGGTGACCACCACCGGCTCCTTGCTCGACTTCGTTTGGCGGTTCTGACAAATTTAAGCCGTTTGAATTTGCCGGAGAGAAGGAGCTAGACGAGGGATTTACCATTTTCTTTATTATTATGACGACTTCGCCACCCCCAGCCGACCTCGGGGCGCTCCGCGTCCCTTATGCCCTCCCGGCTGCGGGCTGCCTAGGTGCCGGCCCGCGCCACTGGCTCTGCATGAAGGACACTAGGTTCTTGGACGCCACTGCCAGCGAAAGTCTTTCCCTGGCTGTAATCTGAACTTTCGAGCAAAGACGGGCTCCCAGCTACCGGGTGGGAGCCGCGCGACGGGGTGTCGGGAGCGCTAAACGGGGGCATCTGGCAGGGTCTGCTCGTGCCAAGACACTCGCGCGTGCTTGGCCACCTCGAGAACCGCGACCTGGCCGCCTCGCCGCAGGCGTCCACGGGTTCCAGCGTTTGGCTTCTCTCACTGTGGGCGCTCGGGCCAGCGCAGAGCCCTGGGCACAGCGAGCACTCCTGCTGGACGGCGAGCAGACAAGCCGAGCCAGGCCCGGACGGATTGCCGTGGGGAGCGTGGGAGTGTGGCCAGGACCGCGGAGGTCCTCCGCTGAAACGCAGCGGGCTCGCTCGGGCCCCGGGGCGCAGGAAGCTGTTGCGGCCCATTCAAGGCGGCTGTGGAAACCGCAGCTTCCTAGGGGAAAAGCCACAGCCCTGCGAGGGCGTCTTTAGAGGGACGCCTCCTGAGCCCAGGGTGGGAACCAGCTGTCGCTAGGGGGTCCCGGTGGGCAGTGCTCCTCCCCGGGAGACATTCTGCGGTTGGCTCCAAATCCTGGCCTCCTTCGGGGTTGCAAAGCATATAGATTTCCTGGTGCAGTGCTGGCACTCTGCCCAGAGGCGGAGGGTGTGCAGCTAGAGTGGCTGAGCAGCCGGCCGCCCACTTAGCTGGTCCCCAAGGCCAGCGCTAAGGAGCCCGCCCAGACCTTCACCTCACGGATTCTAAAGACCTACAGCCTGCACCCCAGAGCCTTGGAGCAAAGCCTTGCCAATTTGGGGGACTACAGCTGTGCTGGGTGCTAGGTACCCCCTGAAGAGGATGTTAGTGGCCACCCCTAAACCTCTACCCTGTTGGGATAGATAGCTCTGCCTGGAAAGTTGCAAACCAGGACACCCTTCCCAGAGAGGGCTCTCTTGTGCAGAAAGGAAAGGCATCAGGGAGATTTAACCTTCTTGCATACACCTGGGAGAGGGTGGGGCTCACCCTCTGCATAGCCTCCCCTCTGGGAGCTCCAGACTTGGCCCCACCCCCAGACAATCATCTCCCACCCTAAACACTGGCAGTGCAGTTGGAGGGCACCCTTTGGATTACATTGAGAGTCCAGGTCTTCCCTCCCTATCTGGTTCAAGGCTTGGGACGCAGGGCTCCGTCGTCACTGCGAGTTTGGATTCTCCTCTGACTCACCATGTGTGCAAGTAACCCGGGTGTAGCCAGCTCTGTTTGCTGGTCTGTCCCAGGAAACCAGCTTTTGAGGGTACGTGAGGCTCATGAGCCACATGATTTGTCCATGATCAGAGATAGCGTGGGTTTGTGTTCATTTCAGGATCTTTCTCCCAGGTCTGAATTACTGTCCTGGGAGCAGCCACCCCAAGGCCCCTCTCCAAGTTTTGTCCAGTGCCTTCTTTCTCTCTGAACTCCCAAGCCCACCCATTGGGCGTGGCGTGCCCTTCCTGTCCAGATCCTGGGTGCAACCCACCAAGCTCATCCCTCACCTCTGTGGTCATGACGAGCCTTCCTGACTCTTCTCAGGTATCCTGGAGATTACAGCTGTGGAAGTGGGCGTTGTGGCCATCAAGGGGCTCTTCTCTGGGCGGTACTTGGCCATGAACAGGAGGGGACGGCTCTATGCTTCGGTGAGTCCAATCTCTGCAGTATGTGGGTTCCGAAGCCCTTGAATCACACCCAAAGCTCTGGGTGCTTCCATGGGAGACAGCCCGAGGGTGTGACTTGGGGAGGATCAAACAGGGTTGGATACATCCTAATCTGGGCACATCTCCCCCAAATCTTATCATTTTTATCACCCTTCTAGAAGCTGACTTGAGAACAGAGACAAGATGACCTCTCAAACTGTACCCAAAATAAATGGACCCAAGGGAACTTGAGAGTAAAGGGAAGGGCAGAAGCTCTTCTGCTGAAGAGCTCTTCAGCAGAGCTGGCCTGGGTGAGGCAGCTGGGTGGGTTCATCCTCTCTTCTCCCCAGGCTGGGAAGACTTAGGAAAAAAACAGGAACAGGGGCTGGGGAAATGGCTCAGTAGAATAAGCACTTCCCTGGCAAGTGTGAGGGCCTGAGTTCAATCCCTGCTTCTGCCAAAAAAAAAAAAAAGAAAAAGAAAAAACCAGGAAGATGTGAGAAGGGCTCCAGGTACAGACTCTGCAGTGCCTGGGCCCCACCTGGTCAGAAAGGATTCTGTCATCCTGTGGACATCAGCAGTGCCCAAGAAGCCACTGTAGAAGTAGGAAATTTGCTATCCCCAGCCAGTGACTGTGAGCCCCTACGGCTGCTGCCCCCCTAGACAATGAGAGTTTCGAGCTTCATGAAACCTAGATGATGCAGCCATGGGTGTGGTCTAGCATATGTTTTCTCAGGTCCAGGGCCAAGCATTAGACTTTGTATATAGACCCAAGAGCTCATGGCATGGGCCTCTCTGCAGGTCCCTTGGTGCCCCTGCCCCTTTTGTGTTTATAAGAATACTTTGCCCAGGGTTAGGTCTCTATTTTTCTTGAGGTAGGCTGAGGCTCTCTGGATCCCTAAAGCCCTAGGTCTCTGGTAGAATTGAGGGGAGGTGACCAAGTCTTGAAATTGACTCCCCCAATTGCTCTTCCCTTTTGGGATGAGAGAACCCAGGAAGGGCTTGGTGGCCTCCAGTGATGTCTCCCGCTTTCTCATCCATAGGGGAGGCATCCTATGCTACTGTAGAATGTCACAGGGCAGAGTAGGAAGTCCACTCAGGGGACAAGTTCAGGTCTTCTACCATCTCCTCCTGATGGGGGCATCTCAGAGAGTCAAAGACCACCTCTGGCTTCTGTCCTTGAGAGCTAATAGCCCAAGCTTTGGAGGAAAAGTGTATTAAAGGACTCTCAGACCTTCCATAGGACAATGAGGCTACTGTGGAATTTTCCAGAGTATAGAGCAGAGAAATCCTCACCGCCGTGTGATACTGGGGGACAAGTCCCTTGTCACCTACCTGCTCTGAGCTGCCTGGGAGAGCTGTTCCCACCTCCTTGCCCTTAGGCTGAGTGCCCCAGTCCTTACTCTTAGCCCTTCTTTCCTCTCCCATGGCCATACTACCCTGATCTCTCTCTGAGAGCCATGGAGGACCACCCCACATCCAGGCTTCTCCAAATCTCCCCTCTACCTTATCCCAGAGGCCAGTACCCTTATAACACAAGCTCTTCTCCCTTTCCACCAGAACATTGTAATAGCCTTGGGACCCAGTGGCTGGCCTGCCATGTCTCTGTCCTCCAGCTTATCCTTGTACTCACCCATATACCTGTACATGCATCCACTCACCCATTCATGGATCCACCCGTGCATCCATGCATCCATGTATCCATCCACCTATCCATCCACGCATCCACCCAGGTACCCATCCTACCAGACAGCCTTTCTTCTTTCCTTTCCTTCTACTTTGCTTTTCTTCCCTTTCCCCTCCCTCTACTTTCCTTCCTACCTTCCTCCCTTTCCATCTATCCACTCATCCATCCATCCACCCATCCATCCATCCATCCATCCATCCATCCACCTATCCACCTATCCACCCATCCACCCATCCACCCATCCATCCATCCATCCATCCATCCATCAATCCACCCACCCACCCACGATCCAGTATCCATCCCTTTCTCCTCAGTCAGTTCTCTGGCCCTTACACTGTGACATGATCTGCTAGGCACATACTCAGGGAACCTTCCTGAAAAAGTAAATCTGCTCATATCCCCCAATAACCTAGTGCCCACCCCACCCGTAGAAGAGCAGCTCAGGTGCCTCTTCTGTTGCCTTGCAGCTTTGCCTTACTCTAGTTCTGGTGCACCTCTCAATTTTCCAGACAGGTTGTGTCTCATCTGCTTATTATCCCTACCTGGATACTTCTCTCCTCCACCCCTTCCTATGACTCCCTAAATGTCACCTCACCTGCAAGGTGTCTCTGAATCTACTTCACGGGGTAGAAGTGTCTCCGGGAAGGGACTTTTGGAGCAAAGGATGTAGTGGGACAATGTGTCCGGATGGACATGGAGAACTGTCCCTGTGGGGAGTCTCAACCCAGCTGCTCTGGAAGCTGACCTCTGGCACCTAAGCCAACACTGTCTTCCCAGCCATCTAGGCCATACCTGACTCCAAGGTACAAGCGAGTGCCTGTGTCTCCCACCTCCAAATTGCTCCCCTGGGTGCCTGAGCCCCTTGCTCTTTGAGATGATGAGTCTGTGTCAGTCACCCCCCAAGTATCCCTGTGAAAAACACTTCCCTGGCCCCAGAAGGCAACTGGCCCCAGGACTGGGGGACCAGGAAGAAGTGTTGGCTCAGCCGCTGGCTTTGTCATGGCCCCACATGAGAGGCAGGTGTCCACACAGCAAAGTGTGCCTGGACCCACCCTCGCTCCCAGACAGCCTTGGGCCCTTCTGTGCAGTCAGACCAGGCCACAGCAGTATCACATCCTCTGGGATTTGGGGAGAGAGGGGGCTGGCACTAGCCTGGGCCTTGGTGTTCGTACCTGTGTACTGCGGTTGCTTATCTAGGCGGTAATGTCCACACTAGAGCCTGCAAGGAAGCCCCATGGCAAGGCCTTGGGGGCTCTGGAGATTGGAGTTTGCACATTTGAGAGGGTGCAGACACCCCCCTCACCACCCCCTGTTCTACTCGAGGCCTGGCACAGCCCTGTGAGTCTCTAATGACAGCATCCTTAGTGTCCCTGTGTGTGATGAAGGCCCACCACTGTTCTCACTCTAAGAGCAGTCTGCTGTGACATTGAACATGTCCCTCCCGCCAGGCTCCTAGTATCTGTAAACACCTTCAGCCTGAGGACAGGGACCTGCAGACCAAGATGGCGACTCTCGGGGGGGGGGGCAGTGATCAGGGCTGGACCTGATTCAGCATTTAATGGCAAACCAGGCTCAGAAAACCTGGCTGTGTCCCCTTCCCTCCCTCTTTTGGAGGGTCTCCCTTCCTGTCCCTGCCCCTCTTTTTGCCACTGGCTCTCACTGTATTGCCCAAGCTGTCTTGGAACTGCTGGGCCTACTCGGTCCTCCTGTCTCCCGAGTGCCGGGGACTATAGTGAAACGCCGACCCTGGTCTTTCGTTTTCTTCTGGCGATTTCTTCGGCAGAGCTCTGGGGTTCCATCCTCTTCTTCTGTCCACATGTCAGTTTCCTGAAGCTGGTAGCTATCAAGGGCCCCAGGGTTGGGAAGACCCGATCTCTGCTCCAGACAATCCCAAGGGTTCCTGTGCTGGGGAACCGGCAGGCACCCACCTACCCCGACCTGGTGTCCTCAGAGGAGCCCCAAGGGCTGGAGTCCCAGAAAGGAGGGCGGGGCGGTGAGTCTTGTGGGTGTGCTCGAACCTGCAGAGGACACATGGGGCAGGTGAAGCCACGTGTGTCGGCGGCCGTGGTGGAGCGGAAAGAGGTGTCCTGTCTTCCCCGTGTCAGTGTGGCCTGCTGCAGCCACTGACCGTGATCTTTTCCCACAGGAGCACTACAGCGCCGAGTGCGAGTTCGTGGAGCGGATCCATGAGCTAGGATACAACACGTATGCGTCGCGCCTGTACCGCACGGCGCCCAGCGGGCCTGGAGCACGGCGGCAGCCGGGCGCCGAGAGACTGTGGTACGTGTCTGTGAACGGCAAGGGCCGGCCCCGCAGGGGCTTCAAGACCCGCCGTACACAGAAGTCCTCCCTGTTCCTGCCCCGCGTGCTGGACCACAGGGACCACGAGCTGGTGCGGCAGCTCCAGAGCAGCCCGGTACAGGCCGCGGGCAAAGGTGTCCAGTCCCGGCGGCGGCACCAGAAGAAGCAGGGCCCAGGAGGCCGCCGGGCCCGGGAGCCCTTGCGTACTGGGCCCACCACGGGCCTCTGAGCTGGCGACAGTGGGACTCGCAGGGCCTGAGCCCCAAGATGCAGCCACTGCTTCAACCTTTGCAGCCTGGGATTCCAATCGAGGGGCCCTGGCTGAGGCCCCACGGAACACTACTAAATGCCAGGGGTCCCGTGGATGAGTGGCCAGAGCTGGCAGACGACACCTGAGGTTCTGCCGCCAGAGAAGTTCCAGCAGCAGCTCACTGGGGCAGACAGTGACAGTGGGGGACCATGTACTGGGAGTATTAAAGTATTTTATTCTACCTTGTCATTTGCTGCATTTGACGCAGACTGAAGGCAGTGTGGAACTTCACTGTTGCTCGCTGGGGTGGTAGCTCTGACGTTGGGGGTCAGGCTGAGCTCTGGGGTGCTGGGCTGCAGAGGCCCCTGGGGTTGAAACCAGTAGGTTGCACAGAAAGAAGAGGCTGATGCATGTGTGTGTGCTTGTGTGCGTTTGTGCCCATGTGCGCTGTGTGTGTGCATGCACACAGATGTGTTTGTGAGTCCCTGGGTGTGTCTGATGGACAAGTGTGGACAAAGACAGCAAGGAAAAAGCAGTTCGCCTAGCACTAGAATTGCAACAAACCCCTTCCTCCGGAAGTCACAGGCTCTGAAGACAGCCTTCCTCCCCCCGCCCTTCCTTCCCTACCTTTGTGAGCTGCCGTCAGGACCTCCTGTCTTTGCCTGAGGGAGCTTCCGAGAGGCACTGGCCATCAGGGGAGCACCTACCAGGCTCAGCCTTGCACCCGTGGCCTCCCACATCTCTCCCCACAGAATGGCACCTGCCTCTCCCAGCGTTTGCTGGCTATGACCTTGGCCCCAGGGGATAAGGCTCTTTGCTTCCCTGCCGTGGCTGGGCTCAGAGATCCCAGAGCCAGCCCAGAATGCAGCAGGAGTGAAGAACTGGCACGGGGCCCTGAGCAAGCATCAGGTGGACAGTGCCCTGACCTCGGACAGCCAGATTTCCCACAGCAGTCCCTGAGGGCCGAGCGCACCCCGCAACTGCAGGAGCAGAGACACTGAGCTTTTCCCTGGGCTGAGTTCACCTGGAAGGAGTGCACAGGAGAGGGGCCACAGGTGAGGAGCTGGGCACGGTGGGTGACCTCTCGGCTGGGAGTCCCATATCTGGGATGCAGCAGTATCCAAGCTCAGTGGCCACATCCCCTGGGAAGGAAGGCACTGGGGGCTGCAGGCTGATGCAGAAGACAGATTGGATGGTAGAAAACGCATCTTCTCCCTCGGGAGTCTCTGACCCTGAGGGAGCTGAGCAGCTCTGATTCAGGGCTGGGTTGGGAGAAAGTGAGGGGCTGCAACCCGTGCACTGGCATCCTCAATCCTAGTTCACAGGATGAGTGAGGCCTTATTTGGAAGCAGGACTGCTGCTGATGTGATCTATGAGGTCACACAGATGCAGAGGCCATCGCTCTCCCATGTGACAGGTGTCCTATGGAAAAGAACGGGCACACACACACACACACCAGAGATGCCATGTGACATGTCGGGACAAGGCTCCCACAAGCCGAGGAACAGCAGAAGAGCAACAGAGCTGGGGAGGGACGAAACAAGCCCACCCAGCTACACCTTGACCTTGGGCTTTCTGGCCCTGGGGCCTGAGAGGTAACCGTATCTGCTGTCCAAAGTGCCAGAGCAGGTGAGCACAGAGGACCAGGGGCTGCCCACCAGCAGAGACCCAGGGCAGACACCCCATTTCTGCAGGTTGATGGTGGAGAGACAGGAGAGGCCCCTAGCTGACGGTTCAGCTCCCTGGAGGTCAGAGGGCCTCAGCCTTTCAGGGTGCTGCCATGGGTGTGGTGGAAACAGAATGGGGTGCAAGGGTTGGGTTTCCTCCAAGGAAAGGGGGCCAGGGATGAGAACGCAGTCCCCTCACTGCTCGTCCTGGCCACCTGTCCTGCTGGGGGGACCTGGGTGGGTGGCAGCTGGAAGCTGTCTCTTCTGCTGCATGAGAGGATGCCCTCTAGGCTGGGTGACCTGTCCCAGAGGTTGGGGACTATGACCTCCCCCATGCTCTGGCCCTGAGAGAAGGAAACAAGGGCGAGGAGCCATGGGTGCTGGGGAGGGCCTCTGTCCGTCAAGGACTCCGGGTGAGGACTATGCCAGGAGCAGGACTGGGAAACAAAAGACTGGGCACAGGGTGACTGTGACCCTAGCCACATGTGCTGTCACGTGCTCTCGGCCCTTGGAGGCTGAGGCGGGAAGATCACGAGTTGGAGCTTTATCAGAGCAACGCAGTGACCTAGGGAGATCTGTGTCAAAGGAAAAAGGGCTAGGGCTCTAGCTCAGAGTGGAGGCCCTGAGTTTGAATTCCAGTACCACAAAAATAAAAAAGGAGAATGAATAAGTAAGTAGATGCGTGCATGTTGTTGAGCAAATTAAAAACTAAAGAAGAGCTCGTGGGAGTGGCCAGCGGGTCCCCGCCTGCCCCGCTGGCTGAGACAGGACACTTCCCAGTCATGAGCTGTCGGATGGGGGACCATGGCTGCGTTCCTGGAGCACCTCTATGCCCTCTTGAACCCCTCTGTGCTCACTGTGCCCCCCCACTGTGTCCACCCTGAGAGACATGGTGCAGATTCTGGGTGGGAGGTAGGGTCCACTGGTGAGCCAGTACCATGAGACCCTCCTCCTTCTGACGGGAACACCGCAGCCCAGTAAGTGCAGCCTCCACTGTTTCCCGAGCTCGGTGGAGTGGGGTGGGGATCCCACGCAGGCTCCTCAGGAGGCCACAAGAAATGAACAGTGTGAATCTCCAGGGGCACAGCCAGGGGCAGAGGAAGGCAGGTGCTACTCACAGCTGGGGGTGGGACCCCCGCGGGGCAGATCCTGCACCAAGGATCCTTTCTTCCCTGCTGCGCTGGGAGCCTGCGGACCTGGCCGGGTGGGAGAGGATGAGAAGCCCTGTGGGGGCACAGGGAAGGTAGAGGGTAAGCTGGGAAGTCCCTGGAACCGTGCCCTGGGTGGGCTAGATTCAAGACAGAAATTAGCACTGTTAAGTAAGGAATATTTATCTTTTTGGAGAGCAGTGCTGTAATTCTCCATCTACCTGCCCACCCATTCGTTCATCTGCCCTTCTTCCGCCTCCCTCCTCCCCATTTGGCCAATCAGGACTGTGTGCTCTGGTGCCAACACCTAATGGCCAGGTCACCTCCACCTGTCCCCTTTGATGGCCTTCTGGAAGCACCTTTCTATTCTGGCCACTGGGCCCTCAGAGCAGCCCTGGGATGCCAAAAGGGCAGGCACCAAGGGTGGAGGGCAGGGTGGGGCTGGGGCTGTGGGGCTGGTATGGCCTCCTCCTTCTCTGGGCCTCAGTTTTTCCTCTGTAAAATATGAACCATGACACCTGCTTCCCACAGCTGCTATAAAGATTAGACACACTAGAGGGGTGTGGTGGTGCACATCTGTAACACTAGCATTTGGAAGGCTGAGGCAGGAGGATCTCTGGGAGTTTGAGGCCAGGGTGGGCTACATGGGTTCAAGTCTAGCCTGAACTACACAGCAAGACTCCAACTCAAAAAAACAAAATAAAAATGTACAGTAAATCTGTGATGGGCAGAGTTGAGGAGGGCTAGAGAAATGGGGCAAGATGTGGATGGGAGGGATGCTCCCTTGGGTGGTATCTGAGCTCTGGCATAGACTGGTGACGGTCCGGCGCGCTGGCACAGACCGTTGAGTTTTACACCCTGAATGCGTGAGCGCAAGGTTTGTGAATTATCTCCCAACGAATTTGGTGGCACGGCCATGTCTCCTCGTGAGTCCACTGGTCCAAGCCTCTCACCCTTGGGGGACAGCGAGGGGAACCAGCGAGGGGGACAGGATCCTCCGGGAACTCTGGGCGGGTCGCTGCCTGCAGTACCTCAGTTAACCAGCAGGTGGCAGCAGGCTCGGGAAGTGAGTGAGTCAATGACAAGGACCCAAGCAACCAGGTCTGTCCTTCCCCGGGAAGCTGAACAGAAGGACGATGGGATGATGACAGCTCGTGCGGCCCGCTGTGTCACCCTGGGTGCTTGGGAGTTTAGGATCTAACGGATTATCCCAGGGATCACCTGTGCGAGCTGCCCTAGCTCTAATGTGTTTTGCTAAAGACTGGGGCTCATTTATCACAAACTGAACTCTCCTCGTGACCCTGAAGAGCTGGCGGTGATGACCCCCACTTCCGGGAGGGGGGGAAGACCAAGGCTCGGTGCGGGGGGTAAAGCCTGAGTCCCAGCCAAGTGTCATGGCCCAATCTGTAACCTCAGCACTTGGGGGGCTGAGGTGGGAGGATTGTGAGTCTGAGGCCAGCCTGAGTTACATAGCAAGATCCTGGCACCAACAAAATAAGTTAAATGAAAACCTCAAGCCTCTAGCTGTAATAGAGGTTCTTAGTCAAGAAGTTGGATCTGAGAAGTCCAGAGAAATAAGGCTGCTCTATATTCTTCAGAGACTCAGGTTCCTCCCCGTCTTTTCCCTCCATATTTGTCATGCAACATTGACCTTGCAGTATAAAATGGCTGCTTAGGTTCCGGCCAGCTCACCCACATTCCACCTAGATACCCACGTTCCATCTATCATCACTTACTTTCCATTGGCTAGACTCCAGGCAGATGGTCATTCCAAGCTGCAAGGCAGGCTGGGAAATGGTCCTTATTCCATGGACCCCAGTAATAGCAAAACTCAGAATTTTATTACCAAGAAGAAAAGAAGAAGAGGATACTGGGCTTCCCTGCCCCTGCTCTCTTGGGGTGGGCTCCGTGGCTCCTCACCCACCTCTGTGCCTCCTGCTTATCATGATGTTCCTCCCTCCCCTGGCAGCCTCCTCAGACAGCAAGAACACAGATGGATCCTGTGTTTCCTGCTGGGTGAATGTGGCTCAAAGGTTCCTTGCTTGGCCAGAGGCCACCTGCCTGAGGTCTGAGTCCCCAGTCTCCCCTGGCCTGGCCTCTAGCAACCTTTGGAGGCTCCTCAAGTTTTCCCAACATGAAGGGCCCCACCCTGAGCAGGGGCAGT